GAAAAGGACTATATCTATATGGTGTCGCAGAGAAGTGGTATAATTGGGAACCTTCAACACTGAATGTATTCGTGAAAATGTAATGGCACCTTATTGCCCAAGAGTTTCCAATAGCTTACTATAGTCAAGTCACTATTGTTTGGGGAAATATTTGGAGAGAATACATAAATCTTTGGCGTATAATGGATGAAGATTGGCAATAAGCGTGGTCTTCCTCTGCGTATTGCCCATAAAATCTGCAAATGTGAGTTTAGGGAATCAAAACACTTACAAAGACATATATCCCAAGAGTTGAGCATCCAATGATTTTATGACTTCAATTTTATAGCATTTTGAGAAAGCAGTGTGATTCAATCATCAATTGAATCGACTTTTGAAGACGTGGATCTCGCTTATACGCATAAACAATTGAAGTGTCATCTGAGAAAATGGCGAGAGTCTGAAAACTCATCGTGTGAATTGGTCTCTCTAGTGGGCCGCTCGAATTGGCTGGATGCTGGTATGTATAATAATATGATTGCGCTCTTAGAGGCTATCTATCTGCGTGCACGAAGGCTAGAGAGAGTGAATGTGGACGTTAGTGTTTCAAAGCTTTCCCACTCTTCTCTAGTTAAGGTGAAGGCCCTCCTGGCAAAAAATGGCACTCCAAATAGTGTTCCTGGTGAGTATCGGAGTAGACACAACATGGATGCTGGAGTCATTATTTTACCACCTCGTATTTTGTTAAAAACGAAGAATTGATTGGTTTATTGATTTCATGTTCTTAGGGAGGAAAGAGAAATTTGAAAATAATGTCCTTGGTAATAAGGACGATAGAAATTACTTCATTGGTAAATGGTAAATGGAGCTATCAAGGTGGGAATGAGGTTTCTAATATAATTTACTGTGACATGTAATATGACACAAAGACAAGAAGAAGGAATTACAGAGCAATGACAAAGTGGCACACATACTTGATTGCCCAAAGGCTTAGGTTTATGGCGATGGCAAAAGATGTCCATTTGTAGTCGCACTTCCAATAGAGCCCAACCAATTGGCAATGCGCTTATACGCACAATATGAGCCTCGGCACAAGACTATATGAGAAAAGATACATTTCAAGACCGAGAGTTTCAAAATCGTAAAAAACTAAACTGGGGTAGAGGACGTCGTAATGACCAGGGATGAAAACTACCCCCCCGAGCATGACGCTTGAGCCGGTGACCGTTCACAACAAGCAAAGGTAGCAAATCAGAGTGTCAGAGACACTAAAAAATCAAAACTAGAGCATTAGGGTACCAGTTTAGAGAACAAGTAACATAAAACTCACCTCACCGGTCTCTTTTTCGCATAATAAGAGAATGTTCCAATTATTAACTCCAGAAACTTGTTCTGGCAGCATAAGATCTCGTCTATCTTGAGATGTAGAATCCAGTCGCTCTACATCAGAAGATGAGAGATAGTAGAGTTTATACGTATACGCTGCGCTTGGTTTGTCGCAGGTTCTTGGTTCGAAAGATTCTTGCACAGGTGGGGCTTGGCGTTAAGTTATTAATTGGGAATGATGTAGCTTTGGACAATAGGAAACATAAACGGCTGGGAAGAAGATCTTTCGTTCAGCGTAGTAATCTCTGTTTTGATTGTAAAATCTGTTTTTCATGAAACCACTCAAATCACTTTTAGATTGCGAGTTGAGATGATTGGTAAAAGTTGGTATTGTGGCCACCGTATTAAGGGACTGAGGATTGAGTAGTTGTGAAACCTCCTTTATTTTACGTCCTCAGAAACAAACACTTTTGAGAAGAGTATATCGGATGTTTTGGCATTTGTGCATCTTTTTGTGTAATGTTTGAAAGTGTGGAGTGGGTTTGTTGTTCATTTGGAAATGACCTATTTTACATTGGATGGTTGAAGAGGTACGCGTTGTTTTTGTTATAACTATATTATTATTATTTATGTTTTGCTTTTTCTTTTTCTTGATCAGTCGATCATAGTATCCACATAATTCAAGGATCATTAGTGGTCTTGTGGTAAGAGATTGTATGACTCACCACAGAGACTAGACATATCACTCAAACTCGTACTAAAGGAATTAGTATTTTAATGAGACAATAACTCATCTGAGGAATTGGCATGGACAAGTACACGAAGGAGCGTTCAGGCAGATGATGCTTCTCAATGTCGCTCGTGCGATACCAGAGAACGAACGGCGTATTTATCGTACACGCTTCTGCCACTGTAATGTGAATGCAATCCCAATTGGAGGTGCATCGCATCCAAGAAGGAGCACATGAGCATCGAAATAGTTAGAGGAAGTTTTTTGTTCTAATGTATGGAGTGTTTATGTGATCATGTATGACATGATTTTTTGAATTCATAGAACCAAAACGTGCACATCGTCAAAAAAGGGGGGAGACAGAGGAGAAAGATGTGAGATTATGTTCTCTCAAATCTCCTTTTTGTCAAAAGGGATTCTAAATTTAGTTGTGAGAGCCAATAATGCGATCCCCAAAGCACTCATGCTCTGCCGCACCAAACCTGAGTGACACGCTCTGTTTGTGTTTAGCTTATTGCATAGTAACGCTCGTTGGGTCAACTAGTAATTTGTATTGTATAGACCGCACAAAGTTGTGAAGTCGCATTTTATGTATAGTAATTTGTACGTTATCTATAATAACAGCAGGTTTCGGTTGAAAGAGCTCGTCCATTGGAAATGATCGATTAGTTTATTATGCAATTTGCTAGTTTCGCATCAATAAAAATTTAGTATACAGCTTCAACAACATCGGATGCAGACTCACTATAGTAACTAGGCTTTGGCAGAGCCACGTAAAATACATATTTCACTCGGCCCTACCCTGGCTATTGGATTTAAACTCGCTCAAGGCCTCAACCTAACACACCTTACTGCATACAGTGGCCAATTGACGGCAAAAGATTATCTTGGATCTCTAGCCCTCTGCAAGCGTCATAAAACACAACTCACCTCTAACCTACCACACTTACAAGCCCCCTCAAAACAGAAGGAAGGAGAATATGTCTGTGCGTCCTAACGCAAGTGGGACCAAGCTTTGTGTTTGGGGAGTGAGGATGTAAAAAACACAAAGGTAGAAGTACATGTATCACAAAAAACAGTATAACAGGATACGGCTTAATTCCTAGAAAGAGGATGGCTTCCACGCCCAGTTGCAAGCCGTAGCATCGACTTAAACCACCATAGTATGAGATTCTTCTCTCTCCGGCTTATGGGGGCAATCGAAGGAGATTTGGGGTGATCAAGGGGTCATTAGAAAGTCCAAAGCATGTTTCGTGGCGAGCGCTGTCTAAAAATGGGTCGTGTCAGACCGTATGGAGAAAGAATACAGGGGAGCCTGCCGAGCGAGGTTTACGAGTCCATGCTGACCCAGAGAGAGGATTCGTCCGATTGTTAAAAAGATATGTGTAATTTAAGACGCGGAGGGAGCACCATGGGGCGAGGGAAATCAAGCACCGGAGTGTCTTGGAATGATGTTGGGTCTTAACACCGAAGCGGGTCATGGAATGAGCGCCCACACCAGGCTTGGTGTAGGAAAACAGTAATAATTTTATGGGGTCATGTCGGACCGGTGTAGAAGACAGGTGACGGGGTCATGTCGGACCGCTGTAGAATACAGTTTATTTGGGTCATGTCGGACCGGTGTAGAAGACAGTTTACGGGGTCATGTTGGACCGCTGTAGAAGACAGTTTATTTGGGTCATGTCGGACCGGTGTAGAAGACACTGTATGAGTGTGTATATAGGTTACCCAAAAGATATACATGTAGATATATATATCGAGCCCTTAAAAGTCGCGCCCTCAAAAGGCGCGCCCACTTCATCAAAAGTCGTGCCCGACAGAAAGCGTCGAGCCATCAAAAGGCGCGCCAGACACGCGGCGATGCACGTGACTGACAGAGCGCGTGTCGGCCTCTTCGTCATGGTCTTTATAAACCGAAGCGGAGGCTGAGGCTTGGAAGCATAACAAACCAGTGGAAACCTCTGCATTCTCGGAGAGCTTGTCTCTAAGAGCTGCAAATCTTGAAACACTCTGGAACCAACCCTGTCTGACAGTACCAATCGGTAATCGCTGCGTCTCTGAAACACTTAGCAACCCAAAAACATGGCCTCTTCTTCCCGTGGTCTGCTCACTCTCTTCCCGACCTCAACAAGTCAACAAGAGAGATAGCTGGTGCGGTGGCTCGTGAACCTCAACCAAACACCTCTGGCTTTGCTCCGTTGAACTTTCCGATGCGGTCGGTGGAGCAAAAAATGACAGTGCAAACGAATATTGAGGCCAATCAGTATACATTGAAGTCATGTGTGGAGACCATGACGGCGGTCACAAACTTGTCGCACCGGCTTCAGAGTAGGACAAATGAGGTGCAGCAGTTAAACGCCCAACTGGCTCTGCTCCAACGCATGTATAAGGATGCGCGAGCAGAGATAAGTGTGCTAAAGGCGGAAAATAAGGAGCTGAAGCGGAAGGCCACCGTGATGTTCCGATTTGGAGG